GAGTGTGGTGCAAATTTTGGGATTAAAATTTTGCATGGTGGAATGTTTGATAATGAAATTTTTGTAAGTACTTAAGCAGTATTAACTTAATTATTTGTCAATGAAAATTCGTTTTAATATCGTGTCTGTTTGATGAAGTTATTGACTATGAATAATATATTGACCACGTATCGTTTTTGAAGAATAGACATTCAAGTTTAAAAAACATTATTGCATAATTTTAGAGGAAACGGATAATGTAGAAATTTGTTACATGACTACTTCCATTCATTCATATCTTCAATTAAACTTAACAATTTAACTTTCTTGAAACTTAAAATCTTAAATGTTTAAAGTTACTTATGAACTCTTCTAATGATATGAAATTAAACAACTTATAAAGACAGCGAGATTTTTATGGGAAGATCCTTATAATTCAACCCTTTTCGGGCATATAAATTCGCAGGGAAGCCACTGTGCGCGAGGGATGATTCCATAGGCAACTATAAAGTCGTCACCGTTGCGTTAAGCGCTCGTCGAGCTGATAAATCGGGAATTTACTGACGCAATGTCCGTTTCTATATTTTCAGCTCGACGAGCCCGGGAATCGTGTGAGCACCAAGCTCGAGCAGATTTTTCAGAAAATTTATTTACGAATGACCATACTTTTCGAACGAGAGGAAGGAGTGCCCTGAATATGTCAAGCAACGTACAAGTTACCTGCGTCAATGCATAGTGATCTGAAAAATTTTGGCTACAGAACTCACTCGTCTCGAGAGGAAAGAGGTTAATTTACCTTCCATGTTATTTTCAGCTAATTGACCCTTCACTCTTGTTTAGAGTTCGTGCAAAAATAATGGAAACAATGGCTTTTTGCATGAAATCATTTTTATTCTTTCAGTCGGCTTTCAACTGTATTTAAATTAACTGTTCAGTTTCACAATAAAATTTGTATTTTTAGCAACATGTAACAAAATATAACTTTTCCACAATAACCACATTGCGGAGTATTTCACAATAAAATTAATACGTGTTGTATAACGAAGTTAATATTTTTCAAATGGAATTTTTATCTCTTCTCTTTCATAATTTTCACCGAGTTATTTTGGATTCTGGCTACACATCATTTTTTAGGTTAACTTTGCAATTTTTTTTGGAAAAGGTTCAGAAGGCTTGCACGATATATTTCGAACCCATACAGGTTTGTTTCCCATTTGCCTATTCTCGCCATTTCCTTCCAGCTTCCCACATAACTCCCCATCCCTCTTTCACCCTCCACCTAGATTATCCTTCGTATTCGATTCAGCCTTTAGCTGGCCTGCTAAATGGCAATTTTATAATTCATGGCGTACCGTGTTCATCCGGTCTATCGATGCTCTAGTAAATGGCCAATACCGCTTGAGCTAGTTTCTCGTTACCATTTTGTTACGGCAACCGTCGTTTATTTTACATAGAACTAACCTTACACTACGAAAATACTTCAAAAACCTCCAATATCATGTACCAGTCTAAACATACTCAAAAAGACTTCGATTTTAATACTCAAATCTTTAAAGGCATATAAAACGCTGATATACATAAAACCTAACCTTATATGCTCATATGTGACTCACTTTGCAAATTCGGCTAAATTAAATATTTGCACAAAAGCCAGCTGACAAATATTTTTGAGGGATCTTGATGATAAGACTGACATATGTACTGACAGATTAAAAGGTGATATGTAAAGATTAAGTACCTTGCTCTTAATAACATGTATTACAATATGTTTGACCCACATGTATCAGTTTCCACTGTGGTGATCAACATGTGACGTATTAAGAACAACAGAAGATAATTTTATCTTTCAATCTGTTAGTACAAATTATCAGATGTTACGTTGTTGTCTCAACATAAAGATCATCCCAAAATTTCATATGACTTTCTATAAATAACTGAATTAGCACACATATGACTGTAGCCGTGATGACCGCTTTAAATGTTAAGATGACATTGACCATGAAATCATGAACATAAAAAACATGCCCTTAATCGTTCATTATAATTGTACAGAACAGGGTTGCTTTAATATAAAATGTTAAAGAGTTCGTCGTAAGAAATGTAAAATAAATGTTGAATTTCAATTAATAATTTGGGCAGTCGCACGGTCCGTTCCACTGGTTGTATTAAACACCGAAACAAGTTGAAACTCGAGGCGGATGCGGCGCGAGGAAAGAAAACGAGCAAAAATCGCGCGCACCGGTGACAGGGGTCGAAATTAACGCGACGAAAATTTCGCGAAGCGAGGAGAAACGGAAAACACGGACGGACGGTTCGCGAGGATGTGCGCCAACGATGCATTCGATTACGTGACACGGAAACACGGTCGGCATCGTTGCCTCGAATCTAGCCGTAACTGTTCTCGGATAAATGCAATGGCCTTGATAACGATCAGGATTATTCAGCTGACTGAATGCACCCGCAGCGGCAACGCCGCGCGACTCGCTCACCCAGAAATGAAGGGGTAACTCCGAATCGCCCTAACCGTTACTTCGTGTTTGAAAAGTAAAGAGTGGCGTAGTCGGTTTCTTGCGAAAAGGGTGAATTAACAAGGGAATAGTTAACGCCGAGAAGTTATCTGCTAACGACGTGCGAAAACGATGGGGGAGGGGATGAAACGAATAGCTGAGGGTGGAAAAGAACGGAACAAAGTGGAACGTATTTTATTCCCTTGCAACCACTCGTTAGAAAAAGAATCGTTTTATCCCGTTCCCACGTTTCAAGGACGATGGTAATTGCTGGTCGGTATTTTAACTGTACAAGAATCGTTAACATATCGTTTGGTTATGTTTTTACCAAACGTGGAGTTATCACGCGTAGGACTACCAAGCGCTGAATTATCACGCGTGGATTACTACGCATGGGACTACCAAGCGCTAAATTACCACGCGTGGATTACTACGCATGGAACTCCCACGCGCTGAATTACCACGCGTTGAATTACTACGCATGGGTTTCCCACGCGCTGAATTACCACGCGAAGGACTCCCAAGCGCTGAATTACCACGCGTTAAATTACTACGCATGGGACTTCCACGCGTTGAATTACCACGCGTGGAATTACCACGCGTTGAATTACCACGCGAAGGACTCCCAAGCGCTGAATTACCACGCGTTGAATTACCACGCGTGGAGTTACTACGCATAGAACTTCCACGCGCTGAATTATCACGCGAAGAACTCCCAAGTGCTGAATTACCACGCGTTAAATTACTACACATGGGACTCCCACGCGCTGAATTACCACGCGTGGAATTACCACGCGTAGGATTACCACGCGTTGAATTACTACGCATGGGACTCCCACGTGCTGAATTACCACGCGAAGGACTCCCAAGCGCTGAATTACCACGCGTTAAATTACTACGCATGGGACTTCCACGCGTGGAATTACCACGCGTGGAATTACCACGCGTGGAATTACCACGCGTAGTATTACCACGCGTTGAATTACTACGCATGGGACTCCCACCGCATGGGACTACCAAGCGCTAAATTACCACGGTTAAATTACTACGCATGGGACTCCCACGCGCTGAATTACCACGCGTTGAATTACCACGCGGGAAGTTACTACGCGTTGAAATATTATGCATAGGACTCCCAAACGCTAGATTTCCACGCACTGAATAGGGATATACGAAATTGGAGTATGTGTAATTAGATATGGAGAAGTAGGTGATTAGGAAATTTGAAATTGGGGAACGTAGTGTTTGAAACTCGAATATGTTCAGAAACTGTAAAATTGAGAAAGGTTAAATAGCTCGAGTAACATAACCTCTCGTAACGTAAAATATAGATTGGCACCGTCATAGGTTCGTTGACCCTTCAGCAGCAACGAAAGAGCGTTTAAATAATTTTGTAGTGCAGTACAGGGAAAATATCAACCTTTCTCAGGTTAATGTTGCGAGCGAAGTATGTGACACGTTAAAGGATCGTGGAAGTCGACCAGTGACTCCTGATATTCACCCTCTTTTCCGCCTCGTAAACACGCTGCTCGGCTGCGAAAAAAGAGACCCGTAGAATGAACTGTGCGCGCGGAAGTGACGCGTGAAAAGGGTATGTCATTTACGAATTTATTTTATCGAGAGGGTGTGAACGGTTCTCGAGCCACGATGCCAGAAACTCCATCACCGTGAACGCAACCATGACTTGCGATCGTCTGGCAATTTATTTCGCGGCTACGTTAAACGCTTGTTCCCTTTCTTATTACCGACCGCCATATTTCTTCGCGAACAAAGAAAAATGTTTATCTTTATGATTCCGCTTTATGTACCGCTTGTATTCGGCTGCTAATTCTCGTATTTCTTCGGGAAATTTTCCTTCTGTGGGCACATATGGGTCTAATGAACAGATGATTAAACACGAGGCTCGTTTTGTCAGACGATGATATTAATTGAAATGAAATATTTTCTTTCTTCTTGAACTGTTTAATTATTTCCTTCTTCGATCCAAGACAAATACATTTCTTTGTCGAAGTAGGAATTCGCTGAATTCGCACTCAAGTGTGATGTTTTTCGAATTAGTTTTAGTTGCCACGTGTGACATATGTCGTGTAGGTACATCATGAGGTACACATGACACAGTACCAGGTAGACCTAGTTTACTTTTCACATTGTTTTCACAAGTAAAAGACAAGACTGCACCGAAGATAAGGTTAAATTATATAGGTCGTTATCTCACATGTGACATATGTAAAATGACAGTGGTACAATATACATCTGATAATTATATAAAATTGCTCAATATCACACTCTGACATTAAATAATTCTTTAAGATAAAATAAGAAATATTGCAAGAGACAAATCCATATGATATATAGAAAGTGAATATGTGGTCACATAGGTACATGTAAAGTATTTTTAAATATAATTGAAGCGAACAAGGTTGAAATGTGAAATGTTATATTTTCTGATTGTGATAAATGTGTCAGCTAAAAGGTTAATACACACTCATTTAAGTTTTAATATCTGTTTTTCAGGTGGCACCTGATGTTACGAGCGAAACGTGGTGGGCTCATATATCGTGGCGACCTTTATATACGCGCGTGGCAGCTGCAGAGCGAATCTCGTCGTCGAGCGCATCAACATCAAGCAAATATCTGTTTATCGGTTAGTAGTTCCAAATAATTTTAAATCTTAGTGTTCAAAGATTCGAGACACTTCGTTGGGACATGGATTGATTTCCATATCCATAGATCATAAATGTCCCTAAATTCCAGTCACCAAATATCCAAATATCCAGGTTCCAAACATCAAAGTCCAAGATCCACAATATCAAGTCTGAACATCCGTAAACTACAATGTCCCCAACTCGAAATAGATCCCAATACTTCTCAATTCTAATCTCCCCTAACACAAATATCCCTAAATCCTAATACCCGTTCATATAAATATCCCCAAGTCCTAATATCCTCTAATACAAATATCCCCACATCCTAATATCCCTTGATACCAACATCTCTACATCTCCCCTGACACCAATATCCCTAAACCCCCACATCCCTGCCCTAACATTACTATTAAAGAAGCGATTAATCTCTGGTTTGACATTGAAATATCAGAGGTTAATAAAATTGATTACCGCCCGTCAGTATTTTCACGTGAACGACACGATTGAAAATGAAACGTAGACCGGGGACAATATTAATACTTCTATTAAGTTTCCAAGCTCGTCGACGTTGATCTAATTTTATGATCCTCTTATTACGCTTTGATCCGTACGTTTTAATATTTCCCCCGTTCTTTCACCTTGTTCGCTTCATTCTGCCTTCGGATACTTTTCCTTGGCCCGGAAACACCGCGATAAAAGTAATTGAACAAATTAGTCGGGCCACAGAGAAGCCCGGATACCGCGGTTCGGTCCGCCAGTTCCATTCCGGTGCACCTCTTAAACTTTACCTTCTTTTTTTTCGGAGATTAATTGAGATTCTTCGGCCACGTCGTATCGCCATAATTTTAATTAAATAGATTTGGCTCCGTTCATTCTCTTTCCTGTTCCCCCTCGTTTCCTATTCAACCGGCGTACCCGCGACCGCCGCTTCTGCACTCGGCACAATTCGTTCCAGTCGTTAAAGATTCAACTCGTAAAAACTTGGCTACTTTAGGCTGCACTGTCTCCACCCTTTACCCTATTTTATTCTTGCCCTTTTTACTTGCTCATTAACGAGACGTCCTTTATCGAGCCTTTATCGTCCTTTTTAAATGTGTTGTATCGGTAATCGTTGCCGGTTTCCTTCCAAATGAGTCAAATGCGTCGAACAATATTTGCATAAGAACGAGACAGCAGCTATCAAACTTCTAATAGGCTTTTAAAATCCATTAAAAACTTTTGTACTCGAGTTTGAAACGTAAACGATATCCGTATGAAACCTCGACTAAAATGAATATTTACTAATTATCAACAAGGTTTCCATTTAAAGAATTCAGAAAAAATTCAGGTTCCCCTAAGATCCACCTAAAATCCCCAAAATTTTATTTTCTTCAAATTCTCATAAAACAGACGTTCTCACAAACTTTGGTTTCAAATAAAATATCTGAAAAATAAATTCCAACTAAACATGCTTCTACCAAAAAATAAAAGTTCGTCTCCATATCCTAGCCCTTAAAACATGTTATTCGTATGATTTTCGCTTATTTTTTGGTGAATCAACGATATGCTAAGGACATAAAGGAAAGATATTCGAAAGTGGCTGCCATTGTCCCTTTCGCGTGTCCACGTAAACGGTCCATCACCTGAACGTTGCACAAAATTTATTCACCCCGTTTGGCCGGAAGCTGGTCCCCTGTTTGTCCGTGGACGCGTTCAAAAGGCAGAGGCGTCGATCCGCGTTTCCAAGCTCGTCGACGTTGATCTAATTTTATGATCCTCTTATTACGCTTTGATCCGTACGTTTTAATATTTCCCCCGTTCTTTCACCTTGTTCGCTTCATTCTGCCTTCGGATACTTTTCCTTGGCCCGGAAACACCGCGATAAAAGTAATTGAACAAATTAGTCGGGCCACAGAGAAGCCCGGATACCGCGGTTCGGTCCGCCAGTTCCATTCCGGTGCACCTCTTAAACTTTACCTTCTTTTTTTTCGGAGATTAATTGAGATTCTTCGGCCACGTCGTATCGCCATAATTTTAATTAAATAGATTTGGCTCCGTTCATTCTCTTTCCTGTTCCCCCTCGTTTCCTATTCAACCGGCGTACCCGCGACCGCCGCTTCTGCACTCGGCACAATTCGTTCCAGTCGTTAAAGATTCAACTCGTAAAAACTTGGCTACTTTAGGCTGCACTGTCTCCACCCTTTACCCTATTTTATTCTTGCCCTTTTTACTTGCTCATTAACGAGACGTCCTTTATCGAGCCTTTATCGTCCTTTTTAAATGTGTTGTATCGGTAATCGTTGCCGGTTTCCTTCCAAATGAGTCAAATGCGTCGAACAATATTTGCATAAGAACGAGACAGCAGCTATCAAACTTCTAATAGGCTTTTAAAATCCATTAAAAACTTTTGTACTCGAGTTTGAAACGTAAACGATATCCGTATGAAACCTCGACTAAAATGAATATTTACTAATTATCAACAAGGTTTCCATTTAAAGAATTCAGAAAAAATTCAGGTTCCCCTAAGATCCACCTAAAATCCCCAAAATTTTATTTTCTTCAAATTCTCATAAAACAGACGTTCTCACAAACTTTGGTTTCAAATAAAATATCTGAAAAATAAATTCCAACTAAACATGCTTCTACCAAAAAATAAAAGTTCGTCTCCATATCCTAGCCCTTAAAACATGTTATTCGTATGATTTTCGCTTATTTTTTGGTGAATCAACGATATGCTAAGGACATAAAGGAAAGATATTCGAAAGTGGCTGCCATTGTCCCTTTCGCGTGTCCACGTAAACGGTCCATCACCTGAACGTTGCACAAAATTTATTCACCCCGTTTGGCCGGAAGCTGGTCCCCTGTTTGTCCGTGGACGCGTTCAAAAGGCAGAGGCGTCGATCCGCGGGGAAGCTGATTAGCCAACGGGACAAGTCCACCCTCTCGACGCGTGTTCTCGACGAGCCGGCAAACGTCAGGACTCCCCTCAAACAGCTCGAAATTGTCTGTTGCAGGAGGGCGGTTGTTCGACACCCCGTGTCGCCAGCGTGTCGGTGCAACTCGAGCAGGACAGCAACAAGTCGGAGCAGCTGGAGCGGGCGCCACGTTGTAACGTACGTACCTGTAGACAGTCGAGAAAGGGGAAAGCGCGTGTCACAGCACCTGCTCTGCTCGTCCAGAATCTCCTGGAGACGCTCTAGCTCGAACAATTCTTCGACTAACTACCCGTCTCTCTCTCTCTCTCTTTTTCTCTATTTTCGTCTCAACGAGAAACCAGACACGCGATCCAGTCGGCTTCTGAAGACATCCCGCGAGTCCTGGATCTTTTGTAAGTGAAACCGGAAAGAGATGAACGGATTTTTCCGTGCGTAGCCTGTTTTTACGGTGGTCGCAGGATGACTGTTTTTTCAATGAATTTCGCGAGCCAGGTATCGGATCGACTACATTTTCACGAGAGGACCAAGAGAACTGTAGTTCGACCACGATTTTCGAAACGACGAATGAATTTGTATTGAAGCGGGTATAGCGTGGTCGTAGAGTAGTCTCTGAACAATGTTTCGTTCGAGTGTTTTGATGTTTCAGTGTCTTGGAAAATGTTCACCAGTAACGGAGTGATCTGATGATCATGATAGCCTTATCCCCTCTCTTGTAATATTAAAGACGTATTTCTTTGACAGAAGTAGAACTACCAAGTAAACAAGATCTAACTATGAAATCATCTTTGCAACGTCTCATTCAATTTTTATCTCCCCAAAAAAATAAGAAGGGAAAATTGGTATGTAACAAAGATTGGTTTAAATGAAACTTTATCAAGGTTACTTTTATCAAATTTCATCAAGATTACTTTTACTATTTAACTTCGAGAATGAAAGATTACTTCAAGAATGAACAATTACTTCACTAAATGAATTACAGTTAATGAATAGTCTGTTGCTTTTTATCAACCCTATAAACTACAATCTGCGTCACGTTCATTGCATCAATCAACGTCGTTCCTCAACGTCACGTATCGTTTCACGGATCTCCGACATTTACGACCACGCTGTATTTCGTTGGCTACACGATAATGAAAGGCATATGGCGTCGTCCAAGTCTCCGAATGATCGTTCAGGGGACTTGGACAGGTGATAATCGGCGTTGGTAATATAGTTACTACTATCGATAGCGTCGAGATGTTTCTACTACATGTTCGCTGTACTTCGAGTGTGCTTTCGACGTTCTCAGAGAAACGCTGCTCGTCACGATGCTACTCGTCGATGTGTCGATGCTTTCGTGTCGTTGAGAACCGTGTAAATATTCATTGGTTGTAAGCTTCGAAATAAAAGCGATGTTTTTTCCCTAGGAACGTTGAGAACGACGATGACGAAAAAGTTTACTTGTACCATTGTTATCTTCATCTTAACATTTTTTTTTAAATCAGCAAACTCGGCCAAGTGAAATATCACCTTAGGTTAATGTCGACATTTTTATAAAATTTGTTTTACAGTACTGAAAATTTCAAATCAATTTGTTACGTAGAAATCTTAATGACTAACATTTTTTTGAGGGTGAAGTTTAATAGCGGTCCCAGTGCAACTTTTCGTCGAATCGTCGCATACAGTATTTTTCTTTGTCGATCGCGTTCCTATGAAACAGTGACACGTCCTCGTTGCGGACACCGTGGACTGGCGGGTCGAAAAGCTCCTCGAAACGTGTAAATATCGTTGCTTTCGGTCGACACGACTGCAAATCGAGAATCGAATCGCTCTCGAATTTATTTTTCGCACGGCCATGAATTTGACGATGGTGATACACACCGAGCACGCAGAGACGCGTATAGAGTGGCTCGTAAATAATTGTTCTGCTCGGACCACATTCTTCGTGTGCGTGTTTTGTCTCCAAACTGTCGGATACGTAGCTCTCCGAGCACGCATGTAATTACACGGTGCCAATTTTAGAGTAATTAACGTATCGTCGGTTTCGAGAGTTTGGTACGAAAATGTTTTGTAAGAAAATCGGCTGAGAAAACGTGCGTCGAGAAAAGGAGATTGAAAGAGTATATTGTACTTCATACTTCGATGAGCTTTGTTAGGCAACGTTTCGACGCTCTGTCAAAGCGCGATTAAATTCATTTCTTATTCTTTACGGATAGTGACATATGTTGACGGATTGTCACACATTTGTTACGTTACATTTAGAAAATATTAAAATGATAAAGATAATAATTTTCGACCTCTGTCTGTCTCTTCAGGTTACTTTCCAAAACTTGACTTTGCAATTCAATAGCTCGTATTTCGAATATAAATTTATAATTATGTAACGATCAATTAAGAATCTTTAAATTTCGCTGCAAATAACTGACAACGACGCTTTTATTCGATAGAATGTTTATTTATCGTTACTCGAGAATTTCAAGATTTCCAGAGGTTCGAAAAGGGATTCGAAGCTCGAGCGTACTCGAAATTCTGCGGAACTTGGGAGAGAAATCTTGGAATAACGTAAACCAGCCGGTCCAAGTTTCATTAAAGCCCGTCTTCCGTTGGAAAACGATTTGGAAAGCATCGAGTCGACAAATCGAGGTTCCATGCATCGTCGGTGCAGCCTGGAGCGGGTTTCAATTAAAGTAAACTTCAATCCCGGTGGATTCTTTTGTGTGTCTTTGGAGGTTCGCGACTCATCGGTCCGATAGTTTCTTGTTTGAACGAGGTCGAAAGTGACGCAGCGCGGATCGTTTTTTTTCGTTCCGTTTCCCGTCCGGTTTTACACGCGTGCTGTCCTCGTAAATCGTCGCTCGAAACGGACGCTGCCCGAAACGTTGCCAAGACTTAATGGAAGACCAATGTATATACGTTGTACACTATAAAAACATAACGAAAAGAAAAAAAGATAAATCCGTGAAAACATCGAAAACGTTCCGCGAATGCTTATTGAATTTCTCTGCTACGAGTATTATCGTTCGAGTGATAAGGAACCGAGCGTTGGATACAGGAGGCGCTCGGTAGCTTTAGAAGATAGAGAGTCGTACGTGGGCGTGATCGAAGCTTGAAATAAGATTCGTCTATGTCAAAATGCCACGGACGTGACGCGAATTTGTCCGTAACAATTTGCGTTTGTTCGTATGTATACGTTCAGTCTCGTCGCCCGTTTCCCCTCTAGTCCCAGTCTCGTCGAAAATTTTCGAACCGAAGCACGTTGGTGACGAAATAGAGGAGACTGTCATTGGCCAGGCAGCAATTTACCCCTACGATACCCGAGGATCGATCCTCGTTTCCCCAGAAACGAGCCACGAGGTCGATACCGTAGTCGATATAGCCGCTGAAGGTCCATTCGATCGAGATGAAATATTTTTTTAAATGTGCTCTATCACACGAGATCGCGTCAACGTTGCTTCGCTTGGATCGTGTGCGGGGTGTTGCGTGCACATATTCCGAGAGAAGTCTCGATCTTCGACCCACGTTCGAATCGAACGTGTTACTTGTATAAACTTTCAAGGTATTTTTCAACGCGAAGTCCGTGTGCAATTTGCGCGATCTAATTTGCGCGTACAAATTTGCCCTAATAAATTGATAAACTTGTTTACACGTTCATTTCAGTTTGCGTAATTTTGCAGTTCGCCGAGTAATTTTCCTCGAGCAAAATCCGGAATTGCTTATTCGACGTTCGTATCCTTCACTGTTTTATTCGAGTGGACTTCGATGAACATTGAGCCATCTCGTTGCTACGTTTTGTGCAATTAAAATCATGTAGAGAGGATTGTTAAACATGGACTGCCTTTTTAATTCCAATTCAATTCCATTGTTTTGTTGATTGAGCTGAATTTAAGTTTATGCACTGTGAAGAATGTAAATTTATAATCAGATTCTCGAGTTACCTCATTCGTAACTAGTTTCATATGCAGAGACTCTGATAGTGAAAGAATATGATGATTGTTTTTGTATTACAAAAATGTATTCATAATAAAATATAATGGAACATTGCAGGAATCTATGAATATGTTACTTTCAAATTAAAGGAAATAATACCTATGTTCTTTAGCTTTTGTTTCAATTATTATATACACTACCGTCCATAAGTATCCGGACACAAACGACATATGAATTCACGTTGCATGAAAGTTATTCAAGTATCTGCAACAGTAACTAAAATCCATTTTTTTTATGCGAAGGTCAGAATACTGGAACGTTTTTCGATTGATAATTCTCGTTTGGAACTCATATCTCGATGGAAAAGAAGCTACAAACGAACTAAACCGAAACTGTCGAGTGCGTAGCGTTACCTGCATTCTTATCTCCGTTGAGGGAACCTAAACATCTACCAACAGTTCACAAACACTTGAAACATATCGAAAAACCCTCTGAATACGTTCTGCACCATAGAAATGAAACACAGTAGAAATTAAAATTTTTTTTAGAATCGAAAGCGTTTCATTAGATTCACAAATTTGGACTTTGTACTTCTGGACATGAATTTTACTTTCACACTTTCATTGTATAATTTGTACTTAAAAATTAATTCTATTACGTTATGACACCTCAAAAAAGATAATAATAATTATTACAAATGATATGATAACCCTAAATACCTTTCGTACAAAATTCAACTATGTTTTATGTAACGAAACCAAGTGTCCGGATACTTATGGACGGTAGTGTATTTCTTATCTTGTATTACTTCTTGAACATAGTAGACCTGTGTGCTAAATTATCTACAGATAATCTAGACGTAATAGATGTCTGTGACGTATCAGTATCAGTCATCCGTTGCGAATGGATTAAAGCGAGGAGCATCGATTAGTATTTTATCGACGTAAGCACGCAACGCCTCGCATACTCGCGACGAGATTCGCGTGAAAATTGTCCGCTCGAACCATTCGAGATTCCGTCGTTCGACGTCGAACGCGTCTTATCTCTCGTTCGGCGACAATGAAATCGATGTAATTAAGGATGCAGACGATTCCTCGGGACGACGATTGCGAACGAGTTATTTTATTATCGTAACGAAATAGCGACGGAGAGGTATTTATATAGCTATGCTTCATTACCTGAACGGTACCGAGATTATTACAATAATTGCTCAGCAGGAAATAAGAGGCGAGTTTTTCATCGCTTATTGTGTACAGTACAACTTACACGAATAAAAAAAAAACAAAAGTGAACACTAGGACGGTTGGTTTCTGAACAACCGCGCGAGATGTAAATTTTGCGATCAGTTTCCCTCCCCATTCACCGTTTTATTTCGCGTTAACCAGAGAACGGAAGGCCCGCAATATTGCCACGAATAAGAAACAAAACGAGAGGAGAAAAATCGTGAAACGGCCCGAAGTTTCGGGCCACGTTGATGGATCGCCAGTCAGTTCAGTTCCTACCCAGTTTTTATCGAGGGATAACGAAGTGCGGAAACGATTCGCGGAAAAACTGCTTGTCGCATTAATTTCCCAGTTTTTTCTTTATCCAAAGTTTCCGATTGGCGTCGATCGTCGAAATTCGACAGCGTGGCCGTGAACGACGAGATTCCGCGTCGATGAACGTACGAGGTAAGTTTCCGTGGATGAAACACGGCGGAGAGGATCGAAACGACTATCGATAGCGTAGGTATCGACGTGGAATCTGTCTACACGTGGGCCGTATATAATTAGCCGCAAAAACTTGATTAGTCTAGGTTATTACTCCATAGACCAGTTTGTACGTCTAATTACAACACGTTATTGCGCATACTCACTGTGAATACGAATGCAATTATAAATTATCATAATAAAGTGTATGTTTATATACATGTACCGGGTATTCGTTCAATTTATGTCCCGATATCCGGCCGCCAATATTGCCGTCCCGAACCCTCATCAATTATCCAGTTTTAGTCCGTTTAATTACGGCCGCTCGGTCAGAATCGCGGTTTCGACGATCGGGACCGGGACGAATTTGTGGATCGCTTTCGTCGCGACCAACCAACGATATTTCTGCGTGTCCCACTCGACCACGTGCATCGTTCAATTTGCAGATCACACTGCCATTGATAAAATGGTACATCGTAATTCTTCCGACGTTTCTAGCCCGACCGAATTTACTTTGACCCCTGTATTTCCATCGATTTCCAAATTGAATCGTGCTATCTTGATAAACATCCTAGTTTACCGCGAATAGATTGCTGGGATACTATTGTTATATTGCCTTTCGAACGATATCTTCTTCTTCGAGCAAAATGCGATATTCTCTTTCTGGAGGCAGAATATGTCATAACATGTGCTGATATAACGGAGAATGATACATATGAAGATATAATTCTTGATTATGCAACGAGTGAATTGTATGGAAGGATATATTGTAAAACTTGTTAATTGTTACGTCTGTGAATTTGAGTATTTTTAAACTGGTTCGAAGAACTTCGTTAAGAATTTAAAGATTTGACAATTTGAATCTTTCTAAAATCAAGAATTTCAAGATTTGAAAATTTGCAGACTTCACAATTCAAGTAT